GCTAACTGCTACCTCACGCTACTTAATCAATGCATCTCAACATTATTACAAGGAGTCAGGTGCAAAGCACTAGGTATTGACTAATTTCCTTTATGTGAAATGTCCAGAAAAGGCAAATCTATGCAGACAGGAAGCAGATCAATGATTTTCCAGGGCTGTGGGCAGTAAAGGAACTGGCTACAAACAGGCAAAGAAGATCTGGAGTGATAGAAACAGTGCAAATTTGATTACAGTTCTGGTTATATAACTCTGTAAGTTTCTTTAATTGTTAAATTATATGCTTAACATGAACAAATGTTATGGTATGTAAGTTGTTACCCCATGAGGCTCTTTTCCAAGACAGATTTCACCAGGCACAGCCACTGAGAGGCACTCCTGCGCGCCCTGCAAGATTAGGGCACGGATTCCAAGGCTTGCCTGAACAGGGCATCCATAGAGACACCTGAGGTTCTATTAGTCTACGTTTTACACCTCTGTGGCAGGAGTCCTATCAGCATCTTCCACCAAAAAAGCATGGAGGCGCTGTGGCTTGGCTCCTGTATTCCATTCACCTCAAAACAGTAACTGGCAAGGGGTGGTCGAAGCACGGGCACTTGAGGGAGTACACAGCTTAGTTGTCTCTTCCACAGCAGGCCTTTCCCTCCCCTGAGCTGGCCAGACTGAGCTCAACTAGAAGGCAGACACTCAGAAAACAGTTTCAGGAACAATCAAATGTGCGACATAAGACTTCTGGCAAGGGCCCGGGGAGATGCTCAGTGGAATAAGCGCTTCCCTGGCAAGCGCAAGGGCCTGAGTTCAATCTCCAGTTTAGACAAAAAAAAAAAAAGATTTCTGGCAACCTAGAGAACCTTGGTGCGTTAAGAAACAGGCAAAAGATGGATGGGGTCTGGGAAGATGGATCAGCAGCATAAGCACCGGCCTGGCAAGCACAAGGTCCGGAGTTTGATCCAAAGTGAAAAAAAAAAAAAACAAACAAAAACCCAAAACACACAAACCAAACCAGGCAAAAGAGAAGACAACAGGGCCTCTGTTGCAATTTACAGACTTCACACAAAAATAGGAAAATCTGCTAAGCAAGTTGCTAATACAGAAGATGTATCAGAGAAAGGCTAGACCGACTTAGGCAGCACCCACCAGAACCTACTGAAGTCCAACGATGAAAGTCAATGAGATTTCAACTGCAAACCTAATTTAAATTACTTTCTTTTATTTTAACGGACTTATGACTGAATTCCTGATAAAGGTTAAGTACGCCCAACAATTATACTGAAGGAGTAGCTTTGTTCGATCATATTCACAGAAGTGTTCAATTTTAATCCTGTACATCTTCATTTGATAATGAAGTGTCTAATCTCAGAGTAACTTTCTAAATCCACACATCTCTCACAGGCCACCACTCTACATCTCTGTACTCCACGCCTCAATACCCTCACACCCAGGACTGAAGAGCCCCAGGACTAAAAGCATTTATTAAAATCCCCCTCCAAGAGGCACAGGAAATTCTGCATGCACAAAGACTTGCTAAGCACCCTGGGTATACCAATTTATATTCAAAAAAAATGCTTATTATAATGAATATTATTTAAAACCACTATTGTGCAATTTGAAAATACTGAAGATGGTGTCATCATTTCTTATAGTGTCTAATTCACTTATAATTAACTTGGATCAATCAATGGTCTCTTCTTATAATGTTCACAATTGTGGCTCTCAAGCTTTTTAATTTTTTGTCTCTTCATAGTCTAAAAAAAGTGAAGGCCTCAAAAAGCTTTTGCTTACTGTAGACTATACATATATATGTGTCTTGCATTGGGCAATGAAACTGAGAAATTTTCAAAATACCTTTTTTTGGGGGCCAGCTCACCAGCTCAACCCTGCCCTAGAGGTCAGGGATTGAACTGTGGTCCCAGTGAGCTATCTCACTGGCCCCTCAAAATACTCATTACCTTACTTATAATCCAAAAGATTCAAAAGATACTGTGAAGGGCCAGCCAAATAGTTCAGCAGATTAAAGCACCTGCAGGCAGGCACAGGGGTCGCTGGGGCTTTATCCCCAGGCCTGCCATGCAGGCCCCGCCCCCAGGGCACGCTGAGATGGCAATTGAGACTGGGCGTGCTAGCGCTCCTGTAATCCCAGCTCTTGGGAGGCTGTAAACAGGAGGGTCACTAGGAGTCTGATCTAGTAGTGAGACCCTGAACACCCCATAGACTCTTCCCTAAAATATAAAAATATGCCATGAAAGGAAAAGAAAGTGTTCAAAAG